CCGCTCCTCTCCCGGGGTCACGAGGACGAAGAGCGCGGAGCCCACGCCGGCCCACGCCCCCAGCACCGCGACTGAGATGAGCGCTTTGCGCAAGAAGCCCATCGCCCACCGCACGCGCAGCAAGGCGCCTGCGCGGCCTCCCGCGGCCTAGAGAGGCCGGCACCGCGTCTCACTGGCTCCTGCGCGGGCTAGAGCGCCCCACAGCGGACACCATAGAAAGGGGCCGGCTAGAGAGGACCCGATCGCGAAAGGTGTCGCGTCTGGGGCGCCCGAGTCTTAAGCCTGGATGTGGCCGGGAAGCTGGAGCGCATCGGGAAGGCTGTGCGTGTCCGGAAGGCGCTGACCCCGCAGGCGGAGCGCGGGAGTTGGGAGTGAGATGAACTAAAGGTTGCTCCGTGTTTGCGTCCTGATGGAGATGGAACCCGCCACCTGGGCTATCGGAGGACGCCCGAACCCACGGAGCCACCGGCCACAGTGCGTCTCCATGGTTGCCGCGGCTTTTACAACTAACAACCCAGTTCCTAAGTTTCCTGATCAAGAGAAGGCTAGAGCAGGAGAGAGGCTCTAGGCTTTAAAGGTTTTTAAAGCACACTTGTTAAATTTTTCATCATGCTATATACTCTTGGGACATATTAAATCATGAAAACTCTAGATTTCGTGTAGCATACCCAAATTCCAATTTGGAGAAGGAAACACCTCTTAGTTGTGTCTGGACAAAATCATTTAAGTTCTTTGTGCCCTAGTGTCTGTATCGGAAAAGGGGCTAATAACTATCTATGCCATAGTTTCAGGAGAATTAAATCCATTTACACATAAAGGGTTTATAACAGTTCCTGGAAAATAGTCAACACCACATGAATGTCCACTTAAAAGATACAAGGAAATATGTCAACTTGGGCAACCCAGTTGGCAAAGGAATCAGGAAGTTCCAAGTTCATCAAGGTTCTTCACTCACAGGGCTGTACTCCAGATTCCCTTGTGGCTGTCCCTCCTGCCTTTCCCAGGTCACCAGGGAAAGGGAGTGAGTGGAAATAAAGCTCTTGTCCCAGTCTCGGGGTGTCTTCCTCCCCTGGAAGGCCCATCCTCCTCTCCTCAGAAGTGATTAAGGAGCCAGGCTCCAAAGAAGATCCAGGAGCAGCCTGTGGGGTGTACTGGGCCGGGGTTCAGAACTCTACTGAGCTCAACCACCCCGCACTCTAAAAACCAGCAGCCATGGACTGTGCCAGGGAGCAGCGAGGATGGGCCTTGGTCTAGAGAGAGCCCAGGCTCCTTCCAGCATCCAGGAAATCCGCGGCGGACCAACCCTCTCTGGAAGGAAAGAGAAGAAACTGACAGAGGTGAAGGTCATCAGGATGTGCAGGTTAGTACTTCTCCACCGTGTCCTGCTGCTGGCTCATCCTCTAAGTGAGCCCAAGACCCCTGCTGTCCCCATGCAGGTTGTCTCCCAAAAGACCCAGCTGCCCTCCATTGTGGTAGAAGCTGCTGAGGTAAGTGGAGAGCGGGGAGCTCCGGTGGCCACATGAGGAGCTGCTGTTGCTCACGGATGAGGAGGAAGGGGCCCAGGTCTTCTTCCAGGAGCGAAGCGAAGAGCCAGGTGAGGGAGGTGGCAGGTGCAATGGAGCCCTTGTGACCTGGCGTTCTGGACAGGACTCAGTTGTGTCCCTTGCATTCAGCAGTGCCAGGCACACAGATGTTCAGTAAATGTAGTGAAGAAAAATGTTGATGGGGGAGGAAAAGGTCAAGGTGTTGCCGTAGCTGATGAACTTTAGAGAGCAGTTCTGATGTCAGCTGGGTCATGCCTTTTAATGTTTTTGTTTTTTTTTAAATATATTTTATTGATTTTTTACAGAGAAGAAGGGAGAGAGTTAGAAACATCGATGTGAGAGAAACATCGACCAGCTGCCTCCTGCACACCTCCTACTGGGGATGTGCCTGCAACCAAGGCACATGCCCCTGACCGGAATTGAACCTGGGACCCTTCAGTCCGCAGGCCAATGCTCTATCCACTGAGCCAAACCGGTTTGGCTTAAGATATATTTTTATTGATTTCAGAGGGGAAGGGAGAGGAAGAGAGACAGAAACATCAATGAGGGAGAATCACTGATTGGCTGCCTCCTGCACACCCCCCACACAGGGAATCAAGCCCCCAACCTGGGCATGTGTCCTGACTGGGAATTGAACTGTGACCTCCTGGTTCATAGGTTGACGCTCAATCACTGAGCCACACTGGGCTTAATATGTACTTTTTAAAAAATATTTTTATTGATTTCAGAGAGGGAGAGAGATAGAAACATCAATGATGAGAATCATTGATTGGCTGCCTGCCTCCATGCCCCACACTGGGGATCAAGCCCACAACCCTGGCATGTGCCCTTGGCTGGAATCAAACCCGGGACCCCTCAGTCCGAAGGCAGAGGCTCCATCCACTGAGCCAAAGTGGCTAAGGCTTAATATGTACTTTTTAAAAAAGATTTACAGTTTGCTGGGGTGGGGGGGAGGGGTTGGAAGAAAAGATAAAATTTCCCCAAATCTGACTGCCCAGTGAGACGTAACATTTGGCAAGTCTTCTCTTGCAGATTTCTCCCATCTGCATACTGTTACAGAAACTTTTTGGGGGGAGCATTTACTATATGCTAGGCACTGTGCCAAACACGTTTATGTCATTTTTCAGAACCCAAGGAGGGAGATCCTTTCCCCTCATGAGGAAACTAAGGCTGTGAAATCAGGCTCTTCATTTTTCATATGCAAAAATCACACTCATGTGTTTTTTAGTAAAAAGCGAAACATTTATTTGACCTGAAGTGAAAAAAGATCACAAGTTCATTTGTTTTTAAGGTCAACATATCAGGAACATTTCTCACTGCTAATGGGCTCTTAGCTCCCCTCCCCCAACCCAGACTGGACATTTAGCCCACTGGACCCCAGATCTCTGAGAACCTTTAATCCAGAACTCAGCTCGGGGCAGGAACAGGGAGAGCAAGATGCCTGCTGGGTTCCGGAGGACAGCGTACCAGGAAGCTCCCAATCCCAGTCCTCTCTGGGATCCAACAGGCTTCGAGTCTGCAGAAGCCACCATCTCCGGCCGCCCAGGAGCTGAGGGTACTGTTTGTTCTCTCAACGTTTCACCTAGGTTTGTCTATGGAGCCCTTCTGCCCGTCCTTTCACAATCTTTCCCTTCTACAGGTGAGAAAACTGAGCTTACAGCAGTGGTCAGCAAACTCATTAGCCAACAGCCAAATAACAGTACGACGATTGAAATTTATTTTGAGAGCCAAATTTTTTAAACTATACAGGTAGGTACACTGTTATTAACTTAAATAGGGTACTTCTAAGGCTTAGGAAGAGCCACACTCAAGGGGCCAAAATGCCGCATGTGGCTCGCAAGCTTGCTGACCACCGGCTTCGACGTTAGGCCACCGGGTCACATATAAAATAATTCTTATCTGCTGCTTTTAGAAGTTCCTGTTAGTTAGGGGAATAATCCACTTAGATCTTCTCTATGGGCCTGGTTCTGCTAAATGTTTCAGCTATCAATGTATGCAATACCCATAAATCCAGGTTATTATCCCTACCTTGCTGGTGAGTACACAGGCAGTCAATGCTGTGTGCACCTAGTCAGTAACCATGGAAGCCAGGACTAAAATCCTCATTCTCTAGCCGTCTTGCAAAGGCAAGGTTCTCTCCATCTCTCCTCACCCAGCGAAAACCCTAGGGTCAAGT